GCACGCACTCACACACAAACACACGCACTCACACACACACACAAAAACACACACTCTCACACACACACACACACACACACACTCTCTCTCACACACACACACACACACACACACACACACACACACACATACACACACACACACACAAGTACATGCGGCTGGAGACGCACACACACACACACATGTCACATTCATGGACAAAGTGTGCTCACACTTACCTTTGACTGTGTGTAGGGACAATCTTTATAGTCCTGAATAATTCATGGGAGAAATTATGCTGGTGTTCCATTAGAGCTCTACGTCTTTTGCTTAGTACTGCCATAAGTGCTGCTGAAAAAAAAATCAATAAAGTGTCCTATTGTTAGGCTAAGAAATTTGATGATGATGATGATTGTTATTGTAATTATTATTATTATTAGTAGTAGTAGTAGTAGTATTGTTAGTAGTACTATTATTTTATTATCATTATTATTAGTATTATTATGACTCTCATCATCGTCAACATTTTTATTAGTATCATTGCTATCATTATAATTAGTATTTTTTTGCAGTGATTTTTGTTTTTCGGTGGAGGGGTGGACAAGGTTTTCATTTCGATTTTTTTTTCAACACTCTAATAAGAGGAGGAATGAGAGATTACCCAATTCACAAAATATGCCGCTGTACGCATACGAATGCTGTGGTGGTCCCTTAACTCCTTTTCTTCATTATTGTTGTCCTCATGTGTTCCTGTCAAATTGAGCCAGGATTATTGTGTTGTTTAACTTTAAACTGCATCGCCATTAGTGGGTTACGTGAGTCTTTCAACGGTCCTCAATTCTATCTAAATATGAAGATTTTTCTTTTGCTATCAGCCTTCTTGTTTATCTGTAGGTCTGTTTTCCGTATTCTTTTCTTCATCTTGATGATGTCTCATGAAATGTAATAGGGAAAATGTGCACAAGCTTGTTACTTTGCATAGGCCCTATGGTGAACTTACGGGATCCAGATTTCTGGTTCTTCACACACGCACTCTCTTAAAAAAGTGTAATGAACTAAGCTGAAGTTGCCCCATATTGATTGTTGTGTGGTTGTTGTTTTTTGTGGGCGGTTAGGGCTGCCCCGCAGAGACACTCATGGCTACCCTTGTCTCACCTGGCTTGTCCGTGCCTTCTAAAATGTCTAATTGTTCTGGTTTAGGTGAAAGCTGTCTTTAAGTCAGAACTGATGATAGTCCCTTCATCATGGTCCACGTTTTAATTGCTATGCACATTGAGGTCTATATTTGCCATCTGAGTTCCTTATAAATCTGCTCAAAATGTCTTTTTTGTTGTTTTTTTTGTGTGAAGTTTACTCATTTAGTGGTATGGTGTTTTATTATTTTTTAAAATAAATCTCTCACAGGCATCTTGGCTTACCGAGTTTTCCGAAATGACCGCAAAGTTTTCATCAAGATCCTGCATGCGTGCATGCACATCAGCGCTCTGATCTTCGCCAGTGTTGGCCTCAAGGCTGTATTTGACTCCCACAACCTGCGTACACCACCCTTTGCCAATCTGTACTCTCTACACAGCTGGATAGGCCTGTTTGTGGTTGTTTGCTTTGGACTTCAGGTGAGTCTGCTCAAAGTCAAAGTCTTAGCTTATTGTGACTCAAACAGTGACAGATATTGTGTGAGTATATACAGACTTCAACATAAGTTAAGGACCACTTGTAAACACTAAGTGGTCTTCTTGGGTTGACCTGCATGTGGGCGTTCTTGAACTGATCCAGTGGCTTGATGGCGCTGCCTCAAGCGAATAATGACAGAGTGTAACACTGTGGGCCTTCTGGCAACTTCTCTGGCTCCAACTCGATCCTGCAGTCAATACATAGCTCTGGCACGATCAAAGTCTCTCAGCTTTTGTCTTGGTGGCATCTGGATACGATACTGGATTCTAAGCGAATGGCGGTTTATCTTTCCACTGAAGTGAGCACAGCTCGAGACCATACATCTGTTTATGACGTGCACCAGAATTTTTTACTGAGGTAGGTCTGTTATGTCGCACACAAGTCGATAAAAAACAGCAAATTTGGCTAAATTTCCCAGAGGATTTCTGTGCTGCTCGTGGTCGTTTTGCCCCTTTAAGAAGTTTTGCAGTACGCATTAGTAACCCATTAACACTTTCAGAGCAAAAAAATTTAACACTTTCCTTGCTGTCTTTCTTTCTGATTTTGTAAAAAAAAACAGGGCTGTCTTTCAATGTGGTCCTTAACTTATCTTAAAGTCTGTAGTAAGCATGGCTGTTTGTTGCTGTTTAAGTGTGGAGGGGATGTGTTTCTGTGTGTATTTGTTTAGGCTCATATGTGTTGATATTGATATATGTTTGAATGTGTGTGAGTGTGTGTGTCTGTGTGTGTCTGTGCTTGTATGTGCATACATGACATGTGAATGCTTGTGTGTGTTGTGTGTGTGTATGTGTGTGTGTGTGTGTGTGTGTGTGTGTGTGTGTGTGTGTGTGTGTGTGTGTGTGAATGTGTGTATGTGTGTATGTGTGTGCACATTCTATGATTACAGTCATACTTTCACTTTTTATATTTCCATGTCTGTCTCTCTAGGGACTAGATCTAGCTGATCATTGGAATATTTTTTTAAAAACCTGAAATAGGTGTTGTTGGAGACTGCAGTGTAGTGTACTACTTTTACTTTTTTTTTTCTAAGTGTTGCTTGCTTCCTGGTCATTTCCTTGTGAAATAATAATGATAGATAGCATTCGCATAGTGCAAATTTTTGCTCAACAGCAAGCTCTTTACGCTTTACAATCCATGTTATTACCCCAGCAGACCTGATAGCTTTCTGAAACAGAAGTGAGGAAAATTTGTCTAAAGTGCCTTTCCCAAGCACACAACTTTGGGCCTGAGACTCAAACCCCAGAACCTGCAACTTCACAATTATGAGTCTGGTAGGTGTAACTCAAAGACTACTGCTTGACTCCATTCTTATTCCCTTTCAGTGGGTGGTTGGCGGGTGCTCTGATGTGGTTTGCTTCTTCTTTCTTATGAGACATCTACCGTCCTTATCTCCCCTTCTTCTTTTTTATGTTTGTTCCTCTCTTGTAACACTTCTAATCTTCTGGCGCTCATATGACCGTATGCAGTTGCGAGCGCTGTAAAACTCTTACAAAAACATTCCCTTTCAGTGGGTTCTTGGCTTTGTAGCCTTCCTGTGGCCAAAACTTGGCATGGGTGCGCGGACCACGTACATGCCGTACCACCAGTTCTGGGGTGTTGCCCTCCTCATACTGGCTACTGTTGCTGCTCTGACTGGAATAATGGAGAAGACTGCCCACGTCACGTGAGTATACTAGATGAGATAAGTCTGCATTGTCCAGATGTTGGCACTGGCACTTTCGTTTAATGTTTCAACACACACACATAAACACACACGCACGCACACATGCGCACACACACACGCACACACACACACATGCACACACACACATGCGCACACACACACACACACATACACACACACACTCGCACACACACGCACACACATACACACACGCACGAACACACACAAGCACCCTCTCCTCCGCACTCATCAGTACAAATACATAAGATAATATAGTAGTATATGCTTGCACTCACAAACAGACTGGCAGTCACTTGCATTATATAAGAGAATAATAATTTTGAACAATAATACACATTTGAAACTGCTTTGTTGTGAATTTTGTTGGGTGTGGCTTAGAGAAACCTTTTGAAGCAATGGGAGAGGATTTTGGGGGTTTTGGGGGAATTTTTAAAGTTAATATTATGTATGTAGATGTTTCATTTTAGACTGTCCAGTATTGTCAAAGAAATCAGTTTGCCATTGATGGAAAATCGTCTGTAAGTTCAGTGGACTGTCAAACAACATGGAAGAAAGTGTTTTCCCTCTTACAATGTGTTTTTCTGTTCAGATATATGTCATGTTTTTATTTTGCAAAATTTTTTAAAATCTTGAACTGCAAGTTCTTTGAAGGGGATGGGTAGTTTGAATCACTGATTGGTCCTATCTTTGTCCTGTTTGTCTATTGTCTCTGTGTGTCACTTTACTTTTTTATCCCCTAGCACTATGCAAAGGTTTTGTGCAGGAGCATTCTTTAAAAATGAAATATTTCCTGAATTTTTGGTGTGTCTCATGTTGGAAGTTCAAGGTCATTGAGTTTCACTCTTAACTCATTTGAAGGGTTGTGTTCATTTGTGACACTAGTGTTTGGAAATATTTTCAGTATATTTCATCTAATTGGAAAGGCAGTTAGATCTACTTTGTGCCTTTTGTGTGTCCTTACTTAAATGAGTGAACTGAAATCTGCTCTATAAACTGTTAATGTTAGAAGAGAATATGGGACCTTAAGATAAGAAATTGTTAGCTACTGCCCATGTTTTGTTACACTGCCAAAGGAAATTGCTTTGAGCTCCATAACCTTTGATTCGTAAAATTTCGTTTTTGTAAGAGTTCTTTATTTATTTAGATGTTTAATGCCCTTCATTTAAAATCGAGATACCTTTTGGTGCAGGTTTAGTTGAAGGTCTACCACATGAGGTACAACTGTTAAGTCCCCCCCGATTGACCTTTCTTCTGCAATATCAAAATATGAGACGTGTAGTGTGGCATAAATCCCGCCTGATTGGCCACGGTAAAGACAGCACTAGGGGCATTCAGACCAAAGACGGTGGTGTTAACAATTGTGGTGTGTTGTTGGGTAGATTGCTCCATTTTGTGGTGTGTGGTTGGGTAGATTGCTTCATTTTGCGGTATGTGGTTCGGTGGATTGCTCCATTTTGTAGTATGTGGTTCGGTGGATTGCTCCATTTTGTAGTATGTGGTTCGGTGGACTGCTCCATTTTGCGGTGTTTGGTCGGGTGGATTGCTCCATTTTGCGGTGTGTTGTTGGGTAGATTGCTTCATTTTGCGGTGTCGTTAGGATCAGAGAATTTATCAGTGATATGATTGACAAGTAATTCATGACAGCAAGTAATCTGACAGGACTATTTTCAAGAAATGGAGGGAGGAGGGGGCTGGCTTAATTTTTGTATTGCTCTGATGGACATATTATGTACCTTAACGAGCTTCATCATGTGCTTGCGACATAAAGCTAAGTCAGTTTATTTTTGTATTTATTTTGTTTCAATGACAATCTTGTGCTTGCGTATTTTTCCAATGTATTCTCAAAAAAGTAACTAGTCTTTTCTCTTTTCAGTAATTATTCAGGCCTTCCTCCAGAGGGAATTTTGGTAAATTCCCTGGGTATCATTCTGCTTGTGTTCACCGGCCTGGTGGTTTACTTGGTGACCAGACCAGAGTACAAGCGGCAACCATCCCCGGAGGAAGATCATGTACCACTTGACAACTAAAGGAGATTTAGAATGGCTGATAATTTTGGCAAAAAATAATGAATACCTCTTTGTCTCCCCCCCCCCCCCCCCCCCCTCTGTCTCTTTCTGTCTCTCTGTCTGTCTGTCTCTCTCTCTTTCTCTCTCTCACCCTTTTTGTCTCTCTCCAAGACTTCTTTTAGTGGATAGGATTTCTCATGATAGAAAACAAAGGGTTGACATGAGGGAATGAGTATAAAAAGGATACAGGACAAGTCACTTTGGAGCAATATTTGGGAGGGGGGGGGAGGGAGGGGGTATTCTGTTATTTCTCATAAATTTACTGCGGCCATGAGATCTTACTTTGAATTACGAATCTGGGTTTTGTGCAAGCTTTAGCCAACTTGTCTAAGAAGCTGTTGTTGTCTTGTGGAGTATCTTGTGATAAAACCGTTGGTGTCAACCCCTCTCTTATCATTGTACAAAGATTTCCTTCACTGTTATTTTGTCCTGTAAGACAAAAGTAAAAAAAAAACAACAAACAACTGCTGCATGTGGTAACTATATATTTTTTTCTTTGACTTTCCTCACAGTTATTTTTATGGATTTTTCTTGAAATATGAAGCAGTGTTGTGAAATCAGGCGTGGGTCAATGTAATGAAATCTTCATTGAAAAAAATGAGCATTTATCCGCTCTTTTTTAGCAATTATTATTGAATTTTTGGTTTTTGGCTCCACACCTTTTATGTTCTTTGAAGAACACATTTCTGTGTGGAGTTTACTGATAAATGCTGATTAAAGGTACAAAATATGTAAATTTTCAGTTTCCACAGATTTTCAAGCTACTAACCAAACTTTGGCAGCCATTTTCTCTCTAATTTTACCTGTGAAACCAGGCGACCTTCACCCCCTTCAATTACTAAATATCTTGACTTGTATTCAAGATAAATGGGTATTTTTTTTCTTTGAATTTAAGACAAATGAACAAGTTTTAAGATGATACCAATAGCTCCACATGCCCAACAATTGACAAACGCCTGATTCCATCGCGTCGTGATGCATATGTTGGTACACTTTTGTGCTCTTCTCTTTTGGTATCTTGTGTATAATGTGATTCTACTTTCATCTTTGTCGCGATGAATGCTGAATATTGTTGAGTTTATTTACAGTATCCAGGGATAGAATATGATAATGAACTAGTAAATAAATAAACTTAAAAGTATGGTCTGCTGATATGGTGAAACTCACATAAATTTGTTTTGTGTTAGCCTACTTATCTCATATATTTTTCACAGTCTCATTTACTTAAATTTAACTGAGAAGACTGACTTTCACTTGCATCAAGATCACAATGACAATGTGTATATGTGTAGAAATGAGTATGAAACCCCTTATTATTTTTCATTTTGTATTTGGACTTGAGATTGGTCAGAGGATCATATCTTGTAATCATTTTTTTTTTTTTTTTTTTTTTGGTGGCCTGTGGGCCCGAGTGATGTCACTTGGATCTAACTGTGTTGTTTACATGTCTTATTATATTCTCACTTTTTTTAAACCTCGATCTCTGAATGAGTGAACTGTGTGTTTTTGGTGTTTTTATGTTTGGAAGACTTTGTTCTGAGGTTAAGGACTAATTATTTTTAGGCATTGAACTTGCTTGTCAATAAGATGAAAGTTGAACTCTGCAATCCCTCGTGAATTGTGAGGCAAGAGACTTCCCGTACTGGTGATGCAATAATAGGGCTTTTTGACTGACATGCAAAGGATAGATCTATTCTAGGGAAATTCCCTTTGGAAGGAGATATGCTATTGAATTCTTCCTTATTTTGCCTCATTGGTCTAAATTGTTCTATTCTTTAAAGCTTTGCCACTACTACAACTTCACAACACAAAAGATTAGGGGTTGAGCAATGGTGAGTGTCCCTGATTTTTGTGATATAAACTCCTTGAACCTGTGACGGGTGTTCTGCGCACCTCAAGTACTTCTGTTTTTCCTTTTCGGTGTCTGTCCCGTGGATCAGCAAAAATCCTGGGAAAGAGAAAGAGTTGAGTATTAGTCATTAAGTGATCTTTTATTTGGTTATTTTATGTTATTTAAAGCGAGTACAGCATTTTCTGTGAATGAATACTTTTCATGCCTCTTGTCTATTTTGAATGATATTGGACCAAATTCATTTATACCTGTCTTAGACTGCCATAAATCGTGAAGCTTAATG